TGGCGCCGAACTCTTGGTGCTACCTAGAGGAATGCCACTACGCCAATATCGCACCCACCCTCAACCTTTTCCTTTCCTGCTATCGTCTTTCCAAAAGGTCGGGGGGTTATTTCCTGTCTGCCCGAGCAGGTTTTCGAGTCGGGGGGGCCCCTTCTAGTAACAAAGGATGGAAGGGGAGGTTTTTTACGTCAGTTGTGCGAGGGATTGGGGTTTCGGGGTCCGGTGGTCCGCGAGAGCGATCGATAACACCACCCCGAGCCTGAGCCACAAAAAGCGCCGAGATTTGGGGAGGCTCAGGGAGGTTCTCCCAAGCTCTTAGGCCATCCGGAACATGACCGAGCGGTGGTTGGTCGAGGCGGGTCTCAGTCCGATGCCTCAGGGTATGTTAATAGTGCCCAGTCCGGGTATTATGTGGCTCGTCCTTAGTACTAACTTTTGTCCAACTTCTTGCAAAAATGGTGAAACTCTGATCCCTTCTAGGCGGTCGGGCGTCGTCGGCTTCTTCTCCACGTCCCTCGGTCGACCCGAAACCCGGCTCGAAGGATTCCCCGTTGGAGATTGAGGCCGGGCATCCTCGGAAGAAGGCAAAGATCACTGCCTCCAAGAGAGATAAGGCGGGCTCGGGACAGGCAGACCGAGCAGAGGCTAGACCTCTTCGAGGCGCGACGGGACCTAGTCGGGAAACGACGGTGGAGGACCCGTGCCCTCCCTCCATGCGCGACTTGTGCCGACTACCCGTGGGCGATGATGAGCCGTTTCTGTTGACGGTGGTGGGCGAGATCCCGGCGGGAGAGGCAAACGACCCCCCGGTCGCTCGCTGGGGGGGCCTGTCCTGGGGGACAGAGTGTGGGCCGGAGGGGACTCCTCCGCCGCATTCCTACGGGGCGCGCTTCATCCCGACATGGCTCGGGACATATATACCTTTCCCTCGGAGGCTCTGCTTGGCAAGTCAGTCAAGTCCCTGACATTGGTAAGTATTAAGTCTGCTATTTCTAGTTATACATCCGACGATGTTTCTCCTGACCTCTCCTCTTTCTTACATGGCCTTCACTATGAGACGACCCTGATTGATCGGGTGCGTGACACTGGCCGGATTATCGGGGCCTCAGCGGCTGCAACGCCGAGCTGCGCCGCCAAGTGGAGGAGGTCCGAGCCGGGGGGGCCCGAATGCCGTGGCGGCCGCTGAGAAGCGCGCGGCAGATTTGGAGGCGGAGGTGGCTCACCTCAAGTCGGAGCTCCAGACATCCGAAAGTTCGAATCAGGAGCTCCAGAAAACTATGCGGATTGAGCGGACCGAGCTCCGTTTGTTAAAGACGGAGACGAGCACCCTTAGCAAAAAGTTGGAGGAGGTGAGGGCAGAGGCAAGAGCAGCCTCCGAGGCACTTGCCGAGGAGGCTCGCCTTCGACCCGACAAGGACAACGAGCTGTTCGAAACATACAAAAAGTTAGAGTGGTTCGAACTCGGGCTGACGCGGATGGGGCAGGTCTCCTTCGAATATGGATACCGGATCGCTCTAGCCCGCTTCCGTACGCGCCACCCCGGCCTCGAGGTAGAGGAGGATCCCTTCACCTCCCAGCCGGTGCCCGAGGATGTCCATTTTGACGACCGCCTGGAGGTCTCGAAGGAATAAAAGGGTCTTGTAATTTTTGTAGTTTTTTCCAAGGTGTTAGTTGGTCTGTAAGTCAGGGTCGAGTCATGTACCCCTAACTTTTCTTAAACGAAAGCAAATTTTCTTCTCTTACATATTGCCAATCTTTTGCTTTCTCATACGAAAAACTTCTTAATGTTTTGGGCATTCCATGTCCTTGGAAAAGTACAGCTAGCCAACGTCGCGAGTTAGTACGTGTCCGGTCGGACGATCTCGATGACCCGATAAGGTCCTTCCCATTTGGGAGTGAGTTTACCGTGCGCTCGGGTCGGGTTACTTACCTCGGCCCTGCACAGCACTAGATCGCCCAGTCTGATAGGTCGGGGGCGCACCCTTCTGTTGTAAATCCTAGCGACGGCTCTTTTGTACGAGAGGACATTCAAGTGTGCGTCGGCTCGCCTCTCCTCGAGCAAATCTAATCCGGCTCGTGGTCCGTTGGACGATATCCCTTCGTCATAAGATTCTGTTCATGGGGTGGTAATCTCCACCTCGACGGGCAGGATAGCCTTGGTGCCGAACGCTAGGCTGTAGGGGGATTCCTCGGTTGCGGTTTTAGGCGTGGTCCGCAAAGACTATAGGACGCTCGAGTATTCATCGACCCAAGCGGATCGAGCTGCGAGCGTCCTTCTTCGGAGTCCGCCCAGGATGGCTCGGTTGGTCACCTCGACCAGCCCGTTCGTTTAGGGATGTGCAACCGAGCTGAACCTCAGCTGTATGTCGTATGTCGCACAAAACTTTTTAAACCGAGCACTGGCGAACTGCGTCCAATTGTCAGTGATGATGACTATGGGCAGACCAAACTGGGTAACAATGCTCCTCCACATGAATCTCTCCACCTGACGCTCCGTGATCGCTGCCAGCGGTTGGGCCTCGACCCATTTGGTGTAGTCTATCCCGACAATAATATATTTTCGTTGCCCCGAAGCTGGAGGGAAAGGGCCAAGAAGGTCCATCCCCCACTGCGCGAACGGCCATGCGCAGTCCACGGGCGTCAGCGGTACCGTCGGCTGCCGAGGCATCGATGCGTGTCTCTGGCATGCATCGCACCTTTGCACATACGATCTCGCATCTCAGCACATAGTGGGCCAGTAGTACCCTTGACGGAGCGCCTTGAACGCCAGGGTACACCCACCTATGTGCTCACCGCAAATCCTGTTGTGGACCTCGGCAAGAACTGACCAAGCCTCTTTGGGCTTCAGGCAGCGCAGAAGGGGGAGTGAATACGACCTCTTGCACAACCATCCGCCGATTTCACAGTACTAGGCTTGGGTTCGGTGCAGGCGCCGAGCTACGACTTCATTGTCGGGAAGCGTCCAGTGACGTTTGAACTGTAACATCTCCTGCACCCATGTCGTTGGTGGGCCAGCGGTGGCCACCGCTGCGACCGTGATGGTGCGGGTGGGGAGTTCCTCCACGTCGGGCTTGCCCTCGGGACCCGACCTTGAGGCTTGTTTTGCTAGCGTATCTGCCCGCTCATTCTGGAGTCTCGACACCCTGGATAATGGAAAGCGGGAAAAAGTGGGCGGCGAGAGCTTTTACCTCCGCTAGATACTTTGACATGGTTGGGTCTCGGGCCTCATAGCCGTCGGCGAGCTGTTCGGCTACCAGTTGTGAGTCGGTGAGGACGCATATGTCGCCCACTTGCATTTCGACGGCTAGTCTGAGCCCCGCCAACAGCGCTTCGTACTCTGCCTCATTGTTGGTGGCCTTAAATCTGAAGCGAAGGGAGCGCTCGAATGAGCGCCCGTCGGGGGCTTCTAGGACCAACCCGACCCCTGCACCTTTTCGGCTGGATGATTCGTCCACGCGTAGGAGCCATTCCGCCTTCACGCGTTCCGGATCCTTGTCCTCGAGCTGAGTTAGTTCTGAGATGAAGTCGGCCACCGCTTGCGCTTTGATGGCGGTCCTTGGGACGTATCGGATGTCGAATACGTCGAGCTCTACTGACCACTTGAGGAGGCGACCTGCAAGGTCAAACTTAGACAAAATTTGTCGAAGCGGCTGATCGGTAATTACCTCGATCGGATGAGCTTGGAAGTACGGGCGCAGCTTCCGGGCGGTCAATACGAGCGCCAGCGCCAATTTCTTGATCGGAGGGTATCGCTCCTCAGGTCCGTTAAGAACATAGCTAGTGTAGTAAACTGGCAGATGCTCTCCAGAAACCTCTTTGATCAACACAGAACTTATTGCATGTCGAGAGGCGCCCAAGTAGACACCCAGCCTTTCCCGAGGGGACACCGAAGCGAGGCGGGGGAGTGACGCCAGTTGCTCCTTCACATGGGCGAAAGCCTCCTCGCACTCCGCCGTCCATGTGAAGTTCTTGGGGTCCTTCAAAGCCTGGAAGAAGGGGAGGCATCGGTTGCTCGATCGGGAGAAGAACCTTGACATGGCGGCGAGCCTCCTGTTCAGGCGCTGAACTTCTTTGATTGTCCAAGGGGCCTGAATGTCGATAATCGCTCGTACCTTTTCGGGGTTCGCATCGATTCCTCTTTCATGTATGATGAAACCGAGGAATTTGCCCGAGTTGACACCGAAAGCGCACTTGGCGGGGTTGAGTCGCATGTTGTACCTTCGTAGTGTGTCGAAGGTCTCGACCAAGTCGGACAAGTGAGTCGTCATCGTACGACTTTGCACAATCATATCGTCGACGTAGACCTCCATGTTTCTTCCTATCTGGTGAGCAAACATCTTGTTCACGGTCCTTTGATATGTAGCCCAAGCGTTTTTCAGCCCGAATGGCATAACCTTGTAGAAGTACACCCCTTGGTCGGTAAGGAAGGCGGTGTGCTGCTGATCCTCGGGTGTCATCCTGATCTGGTTGTAGCTGGAGAAGGCGTCCATGAACGAAAGTTGGGCGTGACCGGCCATTGCGTCGACCAACTGGTCGATCCGTGGGAGGGGGTAGCAGTCTTTTGGACAAGCATGATTAAGATCGGTGTAGTCAATGCACATTCTCCAGCTTCTATTAAGTTTCTTTACGAGGACTATATTGGATAACCAATGTGGGTACTTGGCCTCTTCAATGAAGCCTACCGCCAGAAGTCATTCTACCTCTCCTCAGACGATCTGCTGGCGTTCGGGGGTAAGACGTCGGGGCTTTTGCTTTACTGGCCGCGCGTCTGGGGAGATACACAAGTGGTGCTGAGATACCTCAGGGTCGACGCCTGCCATGTCAGTGGGAGACCAGGCAAAGACATCGACATTCTCTTGGAGGAGATTGATAAGCTAGGCTCGCTCCCGCTCAGGAAGCTCCGACCCGACCCTGACTGTTCGATCTAGGCGCCCCTCCTGTAGTGGCACCTCCACCGTAGGTTCCGTCGGCTCGGGGTGTTGGGACGACCTTTTTGCTTCTCAGGGGTCTTCGAGGGACAGTTCAGCCCTCCTCTTCTTGTGCATGGAGATTGCGATCAAGTAGCACCGCCTTGACTCGCGGGGGCTTCCCCTGACTTCTGCGACCCCCGCATGGGTCGGGAACTTCTCGGTCCGGTGGTAGGTGGAGATAACCGCTCTGAGCTTATTGAGGGTGGGGCACCCCAGAATCGCATTGTAAGCGGTAGGAAGGTCGACTACCAAGAAGGTTGCCATCACCGTCTTCATCCTCGGTACTTCCTTGAGGGTTAGGGGCAGGGTGACCGCGCCCAATGGAGAAATTGATTCACCGGTGAACCCGGTGAGCGCTGAGCTCATAGGCTTCAGGGTGTCGCGGGAGAGCCTGAGCTTCTGGAAAGCGTCCAAATAAAGGATGTCGCCCAAGCTCCCAGTGTCGACCATGATCCTTTTCACTTGGGCGTTGGCGATTCTGGCGGCCACCACCAACGCGTCATCGTGTTCGGGCGGTTCTGCTCTCTTAGCTGGAAACGTGACCTCGGGCGCGGGCCCATGCCCAAGGTCCTCGGTTGCGGGGGCGCGGGCGTATGCTTTCCGCCCAGACATACTATTTCCCCCAGACGCCGGGCCGCCCGTGATTATGTCGATCTGCTTTTCGATAGGGCCCTCGGGCCGCAGGGAAAGCTCTTTATCCTGCTGTAGATAGCGACTGAGGTGCCCTTTTCGAATCAGCTCCTCGATCTATCGCTTCAGCTCGTGGCACTCTTCCGTGTCATGCCCGTTTTGCCGATGGAAGCGGCAATATTGCATCTTGTCTGCGAGCTCCCGTAGGCTCCTCATCGGACTAGGGGTTTGGAGCAGCCCCCTCTCCTTTATCTAGAGGAATATATGCGTTCGAGACGTTCCCAAAGCGGGGAGTGGCGACCTCGGCGCGGACGGGTCAGATCGGTCCGATCTGTGCCTCGACGGGCCGGGCATCTGCCCTCGTGGTGGCTCCGTCCGAGGCCTTTTATGCTCCTCGCGCCTCCTTGACATCCAGGCTTCCGCCGTAACATAGTGGTTAGCTCGCTATAGCATTTTCGAAACTACGTTGGGGGGTCATTCCACGAGGGACCAGAAAAACCTAGAGGGACGGAGACCCGCCATGAATGCCTGCATCAATAAGGAAGGGTGAGCATCTGACAAGCCCCTGATTTTTGTGGCGAATCGATTCACAAAACGAGAGAGGGGTTTGTCCTTCTTTTGGTTTAGTCCAAGGAGCAGGGCGATAGATGACTTCGATCGGGACAAAGCTAAGAAGTTGAGCTCGAACTCCTTGGTGAGCTGGTCGAAGGAGGCAATTCCTCCGGTCTTCAAGCTGCTGTACCATGTGCGGGCTGGCCCCCTTAGGGTCGTGGGAAACGCCCTGCACATCAGAGCATCAGAGGTTCCGTATAGCGCCATCTGAGCCTGAAAGGCGGCCACATGATCCGCGGGGTCTGTGGTGCCGTCGTAGACGTCCAGGGAGGGGAGTCGAAAACTTGCGGGCATCGGTTGGTCGCGTATTTCCGCTGCGAACGGCGACCCCCGATGCGCGTCGTCCCCTGGCTCTCCCTTTGAGGTGCGGACCTCCTTCTGCACTTCTTCGAGTCGTTGACATAGAAGGCACAGCTGAGCCCGGAAGGAGTCCCCTGAGTCTGAAGATACCGCCTCATGCTCGAGTAGGCCGACAAGGTTTCCCCCTGCCTGATCTCTAAGGGGAAACGCTCGGGTCTGGGGTGAACCAGGTAGCACCGAGGTGGTCGCGTGAACCGATGCAGATGGCTCTAGTCGGCACGTACGGTGGGCCGTTGACGGGTCTATTGATTGAGAAATGAGTGGGATAATGGTCTACACCATTCCCGCCAAGGTTCGGACCTGAAGGGCAAGGTCCTGAAAGGCTTCGGATGACACGGGCAGAGGGACGCTCGGAGCGCCCTCGGGAGGAAGCATACCCGGGTCGTTGAACAAACGCCAGTAGCGTTCTGAGGTTGTGACGAGGTCGTCGGCCCGTGGCCCACCACGCGAGGGGCGTTCGGCCGACGCACCTGTTAAGAACGATCCCTCAGCGAGGAGTTCGTCGGGGTCAATCTGAAGATCCCTCGACATTCAGGCCCTCCTTCTAGTGCCAATCTATTCGTGTAAACAACTTTAAGTCGTGGCCTTGGGGTCGACACGGCTTGGTGCGGGTCCTGATTACGGGGATCCTGCCGAAGGTCTCTCGGGGTTGCCGACGGGGGTGGCAGAGCAGATCGGGCAACGTCGGGGCTCACCAGAACGTCCTGCGAGGAAGGGTCCCTCTCCCTGGCGCCGACGAAGAGGTGGCTCGATCTTCGTACCTGCACACAGGTCGGGTCGGAACTCGACCCCACCCCTCCGACGATCAAGTCAAGTGATGTCAAGAGGTCTGTTTTGTATGTCTTTTCTCTTTCCTCCCTTTTTCGTTTAGCATGCAAGGGTATTTATAAGGAAGCTTACTGTGCCCGCTTGCAGGGGACATGCTCGTACTCCTGATAATACGCCTCGACTGACGTCCTGGTTCGTTTGACCAGGTGCTGTCAGGTCAATCAAGGCATGAAGCGTCGTCCGGGGTAACTGACGTCGTCCCGTGTCTTGTCGTCATTATTATCCTCATTAATTGCCAAATATATTCAGGTCAAATATATATATATATATATATATATATACGGAGAGAGAGAGAGAGATATGGATGGAGAACCCGACAAAAGTGAATCAGAAACACAAACATGAGAAGCGTCAAACGCATCATAAGTGCGACGACAAGTGACCATTCGAATGCCAGGCGGTCATGCTGCGGCCAACGGGATCCCGTCAAATCACTTTGATGAGCGATGGTCGATCACTTTTAGAAGAATTGCTACATGACGAAAGCCAAATGTGTCGTACGACAGGATTCTGGCGAAATCTAATCACCAGATCGCCGAAATTGGCCAATTCAACGTTCTTCCCATAAATCTCAATGTGATGCCTTCATTTCTCTGTTTGGTCCTTTTCATAACCACCACGTTTGATAGTGAATATATACGCCTCAAAAGTTTCAGGAATAAAATCTCTCTTTGCCAATAAACGTCCAGCGACCTCCCTGTTTCAGTCCATGTTCTGCATTCCCAAGACCACGGGCGGCGTTGATGGAAAAGTATTGTTCTCCGCTGTTAAGACGAGTTCACAGGTCAGAGGCAGTGACCAAATTTCGTTTTACTCTACATGCATTTCTTGTGAATGCTGCTTCCAAACTTCACTGGGTTCAAGTTCAACCTGGCAAGAGATGTCAATCATCATTAATCAATCCATACGTTGGTTCATGTGAAAGAAAAGTGTGCTGAAAAGGTAAAATCTTGTCCATCATATGTCTAAGTTAAATATATCATGACTGTAATTAGAAGCATCTTGTTTGACCAGAATGTTTTGCGGCAGTTTTATATAATTCACACCAAGATGGAACTGAAAATATTATGATCAACATGATATATGCCATTCTTGAGAAACAGAAACATGGAGAACGAGTCACCTTTGTGGGCCTGTTTCTATGTTCAAGAAATGTGGATATTCTTTTTCTAACGAGTGCTTATATCCTTGGGTAAAACTATACAACCTACTGCATGCAATTTCAGGAAACTGATCCTGATGAGAAACTGGTCACATAGCATATCGTTCCGTTCGTGTCAATATAAACAAACGAGATCTATAATCTGAACTATGATGATAATGGATTTCTAATATTTTTTACCAACAAAACTATAACTGATTATATACCAAGAGATGATTTAAGCAGTCTCGTAGGTGACATTCGTAGCTAGAACCCATGATGTGGTTATAAATACAGATGAAATAGCCATCAGCATTATAAAATTTTTAGAACAAACAAAACATTGCAAACCATGGTATCTTTGAACCACAAAAGAGAGAATACCTGAAAAGGTTTGTCCCTCCACTGAAACACACACCCCCTGGCTTCTATGTGTTTGAGAAGAGGCTTTGGAACTAATGGTTTAAATGATGAATGCAGTTTCACCTTTGTTAGTCCTCCACATGCCAACAAAGCAGCTGCCAAGCCACTTGGTGTGAGTCTCCCTAAATGTAATATTGTCATATTCTGAAGACAGCTAACACTTGCAAGTGCCAAAAGCCCCACATCTGTTACCGAACAGTATGACAAATTTATCTGGAAAGCGACATGAGAATATCACATATGATCGGGTCACAATCTTACTCTCAATAGCCAAAGATAGAGAACAAACGAAGCAAGTACCTGACGCAAATTCTGGGAGAAGCAAGCAAGAAAAAGTATTCCAGCATCATTCACATGATAGCATTTCTTGATGTCGAGGTTTGTAAGCTTTTGGCACCCCACAGAAATAGCTGCAAGACCCAAAGATGAGACCTGTGGGCAACCTCGAATCTCCAGAGTATACAAATTTGAGCACTTCGATAATGATCTTAATGAATCATCAGTTATTCCCGTACAGTATGCTAGATTGATTGTCTGCAACAGAGGGAAACCACGAGCTATTGCCATAACACCAGTGTCCGTGATTCCTATAGACCTGAAGTGATATCTCATATTAGTTGAGTGTAACCGAGACAGGTTGTAGAATCTAAAAACATAAGCCCAATCTCCAAATTGAAGTTTGCATTCTATGAAATACTGCCACTGAATTTTCATGACCTAGAAATTTGCTCACATCAAAAAGTAATTATCTATTTCCGTTTTCTGAATAAACTTCGTCTGCTACGACTATACCACAAAGAAATAGATCACCTTTTTTGGTGACTATTAATACAGTTATCAAGATGGAACCACAGAAGAAAGAAATTGACTAACCTATACAAATCGATCTCTTGGAGCTTTGAACAACTTTTTGCAACATGAATAAGACCTTCATCCCTTATCTTCAAGCATATGCCAATTTTCAAGATACATAGCTTTTGACATCCTGAGATGGCTCTCAGTCCTGCATGTAAGAACATGATGAGCAACTGAAATAACAAGCATTACTAAATTGAAATAGTTGAGACAATTATGAAAACCTTCATCATCTAAGTCATTATCGGTGAGGTCTAGTTCCTCCAAGAGATGACAATGTTGACCGATCAAACGAAGACCTTCCTTAGAGACCAGGGTGCAAGATTCCATCCTAAGACTGGTGAGGGAATTGCACGAACTAGTAATGCTTGCCAGGGAGAAATCAGTTATATTGCGACAGCATGTGACATCTAATTTGACCAGCCCCTTGTGTTTCATCACGATAGAAGAAAGACCTTCATCTGTCACTCCTGAACACTTGCTCAGGCTCAGTTCCCTCAGTGATTTGCAGGAGTTTGCAATGGTTCCCAGTCCAGAGGTTGTGACCTCACTGCCATCTAATCTGATACACCGCAACTTGGATAGCTTTTGCAAGCTGCTAGCTAGTGAATGGGTTACCTGCATCAGTACATATATCAAAAGTATTAATCAGGAGTGCTCAAACTTTTATTCAAGTGAAAAAAAATTAGTGCATGAGCAACAGTCTTACCAAGCAGTTGTATGCCAAAGTCATTTGGCGTAAACCAGGGGCTTTATTCAATACGGAAGAAAATGCAGCATGACTGACATGTTGACAGTTTGACATATCAAGCACCTACATCAAAACAAAATTGGATCAATATGCAATCAGGAGCAGGATTTGATGTAGCACATGTGCAATGTTAAAACATGTTTCAGGTTGCAGATGATGATTGCTACGCAGGAACTTTAGAATATGATCCTCTTAAGGAGAAAGGCATCATAAAAATGCTCATGTAGGCATCCTATAACTTGGGAGCAGTCGGCGAACAATAATAAAAAAACAGGGATGATGTTTAATGCAAATATCTTAGGAACATACATAAGCCTCCATATAACATGCATTTTCCCTTGATAACAAACATATATCACAACAAATATTTGGTGACAAGTTTGACAATTTTTCAATTCCATAAAGATGATACCAATATCAGATAGCTTGTATCACCCAGTGTCATTTATAAACATCAAAGAAGTAAGTTGCCTGACCAACAACATAATCATAAAATGGTTGTACAATTCCTGAGAATATCACCACTAAATGCATGGGACTATAAATTACAAGGGGACGATTATTTATTTCTGAGGATGTAGAACTCAATTTTTGCATCCAGAATCACCCAAGATCACAAACACATACCTGTAGCGACTTGCACTCTTGCTTGAGAGATATAAGGCCTTCATCATCTATGCTCAGACATCCTACTAAAGCCAAATCTTCAAGGTGTGGTAATTGTAGGACAGCTGGAAGGCATTTTTTAGTTATCTGTCATGCAGAAAAAAGAAAACATGAAGGTTCATCAGAATTAGGTTTGGCAAAAGGTCACTCGAGATATGAATATGAACATGACAAAGCATGAAAATAACTTTGCATAGAGCAGAGCAAATCTGAAGACGGAGAAATTCTGAAGCAAATGACAAGAACAGAGATGCTGTAGCTCATATACGGCCAAACAACCAGCCCTTGTGCACCCCAACGACACAAAATCTAAGAGTGGTCAAATATCAGAGCCCGTCCATATTTAGGAAAGCTTGCCTCTTTTTTACCTTTCTTTTTCTTTCTTCTTGAGTTATACATGTAGATTTGTTAAGATAGAAGGATTTTGGGAACATGAGGCAGCTGAAATTTTTTCACCTTCTTAGTAAAATCAATTGGCTCATTTCACATACAAAGCAGAGACCTCAAATACGCTCATCTCTTAAACTTACCAGTCAGAAAAGAAGAAAATGACGGTAAATAAGGAGAAAAGATGGAGTACCGGCATGAACGAGAGATCCAAAGTCCGCAGCCGCTTACATTTTACTGCCACCAAACCGACCCCCAGATCTGAAATCCCCAAGCACCATTTTAAGCAGAGCAGCCTCAGTTTCTGGCATCCGACGGCGATGCACCCGATACCCATATCCGTCACCATCTTACACCTGGCCAGCCAGAGTCTCTCGAGATTCCTCGACCGTCCGATAGCAGCAGCGGCCGCATCGCTCAGATCCGTGGCGTTGGAGAGGTTGATCTCCACCAGAGCAGCGCAGTTCACCGCGAGGTTTCCGATCCCCGCTTGTGAAAACCCCGTCGACCTGGAGAGGTCGATCGAGCGCAACGACGAACGGAGGGCGCCTCTGACGGAGGCGAGGGCGGCGTCAGTGATCCTAGGGCAGAGGGAGAGGTCCAGACGCGAGGCCAGTGGGTAGCGAGCAAGCGCGGCCGGGAGAAGATCCGACAGGAGCGGCGTGAGGGCCCGCCGGTGGCGGGACTCGGCAGCGTAGAACGACCTGCAGACGAGCGAGAACGACTTCTTGTCTAGCGGGTCCGATTCCAAGCGATCCAAGATCAAGAAGAGGATCTCCTCAGAAAGGGAATCAACCAGGTCGTGCCGGTCTTCCTCCGCCACCACCGCGGCAGGAATGGCGTCTCCGATCCGGAGCCGCTTTGCGGATCCGGAGTAGGAGCAAGGGCTAGGGTTGGCGGTCGTGGAGAAGAGATCGAGAGCCACGGTCGTGAAGCCATCGCGACCGCGGATCCTCCGGAAAAGATCGCCGCTCTCCGCCATGGGAATCGGAGACAAAGGCCGCTCCACCAATCCAGATAACTACTAGGGACCGAGCTCGGCGGCCAGCAATGGGGAGAAGAGGCGGAGAAGGCGAGAGGAGAACGAGGAAGAGGCAACCGCCCAATGGAAAACGGTGGGCTTTAAAGAGGATGAAGAAGGGAGGATCGAAATTACCCAAAAGCCGCTGCGAGTGCTCGACTCGAAGAACGGTGGAGTAACGTAAATATTATCCATATCTGACAAAAAAACCCCTGGGCAGAGCTGTTGTTACACGAAAAGACAAGCACAGGTCGAGGATACAATCGTCATAACAAGCACTCGTACCGTACAAGGAGGACGAGGTGAGAAGGGTAGAACGGGAAAAGGGGACCGATAATAGAGGCAGGGCGATACGGGGAAGGACCGAGTACGAACGCGTGTAATTAAATAATACAAATGAGAGGGCGACTTTGAAACCTTCCACCGGTACGGTTACCTTTTTCTTTTTTCCTTCTTTCGAGTCATCCTAAGGAAATGAATATTCTTCCGATTAAAAAATAAAAAAACAACGCAATTATATTTATGATAGTAGAATGAAAGTTCGGACGCTCATGCTAATAACACTAATTTTATGTGAATGATGCAGCTGGAAGCAATCATCAAGTGGTAAACAAGGGGGCAGATGAGCTGCTTAATTGACATCAGAAAGAATATAATGTATGCGAGGGGGCGGTGAGCATATGCAAGTGGAGGTGGAGGTGGAGGTGGAGGTGGTGGTGGTGGTGGTGGTGGGTGGGGGGGGCATAAGACGGGGTGTTTGCCGTACCGGAAAGGACGTCTTCCGGAGTACTCAGCTGACGCTGATCGGCACTGGTAAAGCGTCCAAGTCTATGTGCCGGTAGTCATCTTCCACTCCACCGTGTCAGGCGACATCTCGGGAAGGTGCTTCCGTTCCAGCCGTCTCTCCCTATGGTGTGGGTCCCATGTAGCGAGCATTACATGGTGCCGACGTGGCGGTGATGCCCACGTATATGTATATATGTATACATATATACATATATACATATATACATATACGTGGGCATCACCGCCATATATATATACATATATTCTACTTCCTTTAATATCATAAGGATGGGTTGGCAATGTTTATAAAAGCTTCTTTTAGTCATCGAGAATAAAGTTTTTGATTGAAAGCTCATACATTTTGATTGGCTGGGAGATGCTTCAAACCTTGGGGCCATAATTCACTCTTATCTTTCCTATACGATCTTGTGTTACTACTATTTTCTAACCTTCTCACCTGTATTAAGGGAGGCTTCTCTTGGCATTACGCAAGGGAATTCTCTGTCGGCTCTAATGCCGGCCGGCCCAGTGCTTCTTCTTCTCCTTCCGCTGGGAGAAAGAAGCACTGCGGTGGACTGCTCACCTGACGATGCAATCCAGGCAAGCGCAATTATTGACGTCCGCGTCGGCTGGGTCCCACCGCTTGACTCGAAGTCTTACCAGCAGGCTTTTAATATTCTCTTCGCTCTCAGCTTTGCTCATTTCCCCACTCCGATCCTCTGCAGAAGAACATCGAGAGCTGAGCGACCGAGGACAAGGGAGAGATGGGAAACGCCCTGCTTCGGTGTCTCAGAGGGGACTGCGGCGAGTCCACGCCCCCGCATCGGCCCCAAGCCCACCAGGGGGTGCCGCATGGCGTTGCTGCCCTCGCTCATGATCTGCTCGACTACGAGATAACAGCTAAGGTGATCACATCTGGTGCTGTCGGCAGATCTCTTCTCCTCATCATTATTTGGTTCTTTGTGGTGCCAGGTTCCGGAAGGACTAAGCCGCCATGTGGTTTCCTCCAGGAGGGCGCAGGCTATTTGGTACCCATAACTCTTACTTTGCTTAGTTACAGAATGTTAATTTCTGAAACACCATGTCGACCGGCAACCAAATGCACTGCGAAATGACTCTCATCAAAGATTTGTTGTGTTAGGTTGCTGAAGAGATTAAATGGTGTGTGTGTGTGTGTGTGTGTGTGTGTGGTGCCTCTGATTTGATTCAGGTACAAGAAGCTGTTAGAGGCATGGAAGGAAGCCAAGCCAAGACCGAAGACCCCAGCGACGGCCGCCATTCTCGTGGTCCAAACGCTCAGAGGGAATCAGAAGGCAGACTTAGAGGTGAACCTCGAGATCTCATATGAGTTACACTTTTCATTGTAGTTTAGGTCGGATCGACATAATACGGTGCCAATTTCTTCAGGGTCTGTTGGCTTACTATAACCTTCCTGTTCCTTCGACTCCCGAACTCGTAGACGCACCACCATCGTCGTCGTCAACCTGGAATGACGGAGTACAGTTTGAGCTACGCACGCTTCCTGTGAGAACAGTATTCATGTTAAGGCTTGACGGTCCCAAATTCTGATGCAATTGGCTGTCGATGATCAGGTCGATCCAAGGGATGTTGTGGATGGGGACGGTATCACGGCGTACGTGGACACTGCGACCCCGGAGGAGTCCGCTGATGTGCCGATGGAAGTGCAGCAAGCTGCCATCCAGAGGACCGCGGCCCGAGCCGCAAGGAACTATAGGGAAGCAGACGCGCTGAAGAAGAGCATAAGCGCAGCAGGATATGGGTCGAACGAACTTAGTCCATCAACCCAAATATTTGTTTGTATCTGCCAAATTCATCTCATTTTTGGGTTCTTGACAGATTCAAGGTTGGTCCAAACGGGGATGAGATCCTCGCACGGAAGTATCGAATCAGGCTAAGGTACAGTGCTTAGAATCTCCTAGGAAACCTCAGTTCTTCATGATCAGTGATCATTCAAGCCAACAGGGGAATCGATGCACCCGAGAGCGAAATGCCTTACGGAAAAGAGGCTAAGGCTGAGCTACTCAAACTTGTGGAGGGAAAGCCATTAAAGATCCATGTGTATGGAGTCGATCGGTATGGTCGAAGCGTCGGAGACGTACACTGCGGTCGAATCTTTGTGCAGGTGCGGAGCGGAAGAGAGAACCATGCTAACTTTGCTAGTGGTTACAGGGATTCATTGATCGCTCCAATTTTGTTGTGCAGGAGCGGATGCTGAAGGGAGGCTTTGCTTGGCATTACGCGACCTACGATAAGCGCCCGGAATTTGCGAGGGTGAGCTACGTTACCGATTCACACGTCGCGCTACGTTGAGATCTCTGATTGTTGTGATGCAGTGGCAGAAGGAAGCACGCGCAGCTCGGAGAGGCCTGTGGGCTTCGTCACACCCTGAGAAGCCATGGGAATGGAGGAAGAAAATGCGCAACGCCGGGTGGAGAGAAGGGAAAGTCCCAATCGAAGTTTTCTGATACATGGGATTTCCGTGGTAGCCTCCCAGAGTCCGTCCCACCCGCGGTGGGACTCTTCTTAGCTTCCTTGAAGGGCAATCTCTTAGCTGTATGCTTGCGTCTGCTAAAAATTATTATACCGGAACAAATTTTTTTCGTTTGTATAGTTTTTCATCACAATATTAACTTATTACTAAAAAGTAAATATTAATTAAATCAGTATAAATAGTTGAACAATGAGTTAATTACAAATAAGATATCAAATTTTTATATAAACCGGTCTAATCCGGTTTGACTCAACAATTCTCCCCCTCCAACTCATATGGTGGGTTGTACTAAGTTTACTTTTTGCCTACATGTTTCAAGTTTTTTCTTAGGCAAAAATTTTATCAATATGTTTGATCTATTTTCATTGGTATGCATATTTTCCAAATGCAATTCTTTCATCTCAAGCATATCATAAATCTAGTGATATCTTACATCAATATACTTAAATCTAAAATAATATATTGAATTCTTGGAGAGGTGAATGACATTCTGATTGTCAAAGTAAATAGTATATCATTCATGTTTCAAACTCAATTCCTATAGAAACTTTTTCATCTACAAATCTTCTTTATAGGTTTTAGTAATTGCTATGTATTTTGCTTCTGTGGTTGATAGAGCAACACAATTCTGTAACTTAGACTACCAAGAGATTGCTCCCCTTGCAAACGTCATGAAGAACCCCGAAATAGATTTCCTGGAATCAGTATCACCTATCATGTCTGCATTTGTATACCCCATTAGCATAGATTCACCACTGCCAAAACATAAACATAACCTAAAAGTACCTCTTAGATATCTTAATATTTATTTCACTATTGCCCAATGTTTCTTATTAGGGTTAGAGAGAAATCGGTTAATAACTCCTATTATATCTAGCCTAGTACAAATCATAACATACATCAAACTACCTATCGCAGATGAGTAAGACACTCTGAATATTTCTTTTTTTTTTTTACTTGTAGGAAATTGTTTCAAACTAAGCTTGAAATGACTTATAAGTGGAGAACAAACTACTTTGACTTTACTTATGTTGAATCTTTCAAGAACCTTTTCAATATTTGTGTCTTGAGATAACTAAATCTTATCATTCTTCTTATCATGAAGAATCTAGCATTATGGCCAACAATCAGTATATCATTAACATATACCAAGAGAATAATAAAATTATTATATGAAAACATCTTTGTAAATATATTATTGTACCCTTGGTTTATCATAAAAAATCAAACTTCTTGTACTATTGTCTATTTGTTTGTTTGAGTTCATATAAGTTTTTCCTAAACTTGCATACTATATTTTATTTTTTTTCTTGACTTTGAAACTTTCTGATTGCTCCATGAAAATTTTTTATTATAAGTTACTATGAAGAAATATAATTTTCATATCAAGTTGCTCAACTTCTAAATTCAAGCGGGCAGCTAAACCAAGAACAACTCAAATAGAAGATATTTTCACTACAGGAGAATATATTTCTTCAAAGTCAATATCTCTTCTGACTAAATCCTTTCACAAATAGTCGTGTCAAAGCTATTATTTTTAGTCTTTAATTTATAAACTCATTTATTCTTGAGAACTTTCTTCCCTTTATGTAACTTTACTAAGTCATAAGTATGGTTCTCAAGCAAGGATCTCATCTCTTCTTGCGTGGTTTTAACTCACTCATTCTTGTACTTATGTAGAATAGTTTCATAGTAAGTTTTTGACTCTTATCCATCAATAAGCATAACATACTCATATAGAGGATATCTTGTAGATGGTTGTCGTTCTCTTGTGAATATTCTCAATGAAATCTCAATTGGTAGTGGAGGTGCTTGCTTAAATTATTTAGTTGATTCAACATCGTCAACTGTAGGAGCATCATCACTGACATTCTTATCATATTCTTCTTGTTCATATTTCCTATGATCATCATAAACTACAAGTGGAGGGATTCGATCCAAACTCCAAGAAATATAAACAGAGGTTTTGGCTTCTCACCATCATCAAATAATTTATCTTTAAGAAATACAACATCTCTTTTTCTAATAATCTTTTTGTTCACTGGATCTCATAATTTGTACCTAAACTCTTCATGATCATACCCCAAGAAAATACGTGCTTTTACCTTATTATCAAGCTTATAATTCTCATCTTTGGGAATATGAATAAATACTTTGCACCCAAAGACTCTCAAGTGGTCATAAGATATATATTTTTCTTTCCATACTCTCTCTAGAACATCACTTTTCAGAGGAATTTATAGAGAAAGATTTATCATATCAACTGTAGTTCTCGTAGCCTCTCCCAAAATGACTTATATAACTTAGCATGGGAAAACATACACATTATTCTTTCTTCAATGGTTTTGTTCATCCTTTCTGTCACACCATTTTACTGAGGTGTTTTAAAAACTATTTTCTCAAGCCTGATACTATGAAACCTGTAATAATTCTCAAAAGAACCCCTGTACTCATCACCATTATATGCTCAAACACACTTGTGCTTTCTATAAGTTTCTCTTTCAATAGTGATATAAAACTCTTTGAAAATATCGAGTGCATAGTCTTTAGATTTCAAAACAAAAGCCCAAACTTTTCTAGAATGGTCATCAATGAAAGTAACAAAATAAAGAGTACTTTCAAGAGTTTTAGTTTGCATTGTACAAATATCAGTGTGAATCAAATCAATAATATTTGATCTTCTAGATGATAGATAAGTATGAAAGGCAACTATATATATTTTTCCAACTAAGCAATAATCACAAGATTTAAGAGATGTACCTTGCAACTCTGGTAAGAACTGATTTATAACAAGTGTTTGAACTCTTTTCTCGTTGATATGACAAAGTTTTTTATGCCAAAGATTTATGCTTTCACCCTTTTAAACTACATTAATCTCTCTTTTGTATAACTTAGCTTTCATAATATAGAATGCGTTTAGCTTCTTTCCTCTCGTCATAATTAAAGAACATTTAATGAGCTTCCATTTGCTTTCACCAAAATAGTATATAAATCTCTAATCATTAAGTCTACTTGTAGATATCAAGTTAAGATGAATATCTGGAACATGTTTAACATCTTTGAGTATTAATTTGCTCATAGTATTGGTCTCTAAGCAAATATCTTTAATACTCATAATCATAGATGTACCATTGATTTCCATTTCGATATCGTCAAACTCATCATGTAAGAACTGAAGAAAACATCATGAGAAGTAATATGAAATGAAGCACCAAAAAGTCAATTACCCAATTAAGCTGCAAGATTGACATATATATCATAACAAACAATAATGATATCACCTTCAGCAACAACTGTATTAGTCTATTTCTCATTTTTCTTTATTTCATTATGTTCTCGATTCCAAAACCTATGCTCTTTCTTTATATGACCTAGCTTGTTACAGTGCAAATACTTAATATCTCTTTTAGACTTAGATCTTCCTTTATAACCATGTGAATTTATATTATAAATTTTTTCACGTCTTTCTTATTTTTCAATAATAAGTGCACTAGAAGAATATTCTCCTTGTTCTTTCCTTCTGACATCTTCATTTAGTAAACTATATTTAACCATGTCTATAGTTAGAGTCTCCTTTCGTGCGGAGTTACAAATTATTACCATATATATTTTCCAACTTTCCGATTAAGAGATAAGAAATAACAATCCTTGTATATTATTATATATATTTATTTTTATAGTAACTAGCTTGTTTGCGAGACCCTAAACCGGGCTTAAGTGCTCAATAATGTTACTACTATCTTTATACTTTAAATTGACAAATCTTATACGGAGAGAAATTCTATTTCTTGTTATCTTTTTTTTTTAATTTTTAATATTTGTCAAACAACATTGGTTTAATCAGAAATATGCTTATACAAATTTATATCCATCTATCTTTTAATATAGGCAATAGCTTTTTCATGTTAAGCCTCTCATTCTAGATTATTTTTCTTTAATTTTGATGAGCTTATACAAATCTTTGCAATAAAGTAAATCTTCTATCATACCATCTGACTTTTCCATTTCAATCATGCTAGAAAAACTAACATCGAACAACATGAGACTCTGTTATCACTTGTTGGGAAAAACTATTATAGCAGAATAATTCTTTTCTCTCTTTGTGTATCAAAATGAGTTTCTCATCAAAATACCAACTTGTTACATAAATCAAATATTAACCAGGACAACATAAATAGTAGAACAATGAATCAATCACAAAATGAGATACTAAATTTTTACATGAAAAATCCAATACGAGAAAAACCATTAGATCATAGTTCACTTCAAACTTTCACTATCATCAATAGTGATAATATGGTTACGATAAGTGAATAACTAAAGGATCATAATAACATCAAAAATATAAATCTTAGTTCAATAATAACATTCATTATTATCATAAATGGATTTCATGAAAAAAAAAATTTAAGTCTCGGACCCAACACTATCTTGTGAACTCTTCTTTAACTTAGGACCCTTGCTGTTCTCTGTTATCGGAATATCACACTCACCTGCAATAAATTCTAAAACACAAATCATATCGAATCAATTCTCAAGTTGACGATGAAGATTGACACTAACATAGGAGAAGATAATTATAGAGATGAGATCGATCATCCTTTCCACACCCCATATTAGACTGCTTTTGTTTTCATTGATTTACCCTGTGGAAAATTAAAAAGAATGGTATTTACATCGATTACATAAAATACGTCTTCCAACGCCCACTGTGACCGTATTCATCACACCACAAACGAAGAACAAAAACACCACCGGAAGATGTTTGCAAACGGTGTAACTTCTAAGCTTTGGTTGCACGTACGACTTCCCTGTCTAAGTAGAAGACGGCGCGTCGTCTTCTTCTCCGGCCGAGAACGAAGCAGGTGGGAGTTGAGTCGAACCGTTCGCACCACCTACGACGTCTTCGGATCCCATCAATGGCTGAACCGGTGGCGTCGTTGCATCCCCCCGAAGCACTTCTGAACCATCCCGCGTCTCGGTTGCGATCGTTTGCCTCTCTTCCTCGCCGTCCATTAGCTTCCTAAAGAGGCTGTCGTCTTCCACATCGTAGAAGTTGCCGGTGCGCACCTCCTGCGCCAGAGCACACGCCCAGCAGAACATCCACTTCACGTAGTCCGTAAGCGAAGCAGAGCCGAAGCAGAAGGCATCCCTCGGGAGTCTAAACCTTCTCCTCATCTGAATCCTCCAAAACCCCCCGTACAGCAATCCGAACGCGCAGAGAACTACTCCCGCGATCCCGATGACATCTCCGATGACGTAGTTGTGGATGTTGAGAGCCGCGATGTTGCAGATCCAGAAGGGAGCAACGCAGAGCAGGAGGAACGTGGCGACGTGCACGTACATGTTACCCGA